TCTATGTGGAGGCCCCTACGTGGACTCTCTTACGTGGACCCTGCTTAGGTGGACCCCCCTACGTGGAGCCCCCTATGTGGACTTTCTTACATGGACCCTGCTTATGTGGACCCCCTACGTGGAGCCCCCATGTGGACTCTCTTACATGGACCCTGCTTATGTGGACCCCCCTACGTGGATCCCTCTACGTCGACTTTCTTACGTGGACCCTTCTTATGTGGACCCCCCCCCTACATGGTTGGTTTCCAATGGACCCCCCCTACATGGTTGGTTTCCAAAACGGCTTTTCCCAAAATGGTGCACTCATCGCAATTCCGTGGGGGCCGGCTTCTAAGTCTCCTTTAAGCTCCACCCACACTCAAAGCACAGGGATGTTAAACATGAAGGGGTGTCAATGGCAAAAACTGTGAGAGGTGTCTAGCGCGGAGCCAAGGTCCCCACATAAGGCCCGGCAAGATCCTGCTGCTTTTTATTGTTGTGAATGATGAAGGAACTGCACATTTAAATATGCGGAGCCGCCCGTCGCCCCCAAACATACGGACAGAATAGGAATTATACACTACCTCCGGGAGGGTCAACCCTGGGCCGCCCTCCACATATTTTAATGGCGTAACCGTATGTCCGCGGTCTAACAAACATAGCAAAACTTTTTGAGGTTGGTGCTGCATTGCTGAATTACGGCTATAGATTCTTCTTAAGCTAGACCATCACGAACCTGTTGTGGTTGATTGATGCGTAATGATGACTAGATAAATCAGCCTTCAAGTTCTTTCAATCGAATTAGTTTTCCCAGGTGCACGACTGTCCATCGCCGGAGGGGTGGAAATCCCGGCGACCTCGGCACCTTTTCTTCGCTGAGAACGACCTCTCGCCGTGTCTCGCCCTTTCGACCTCTTTCGACCTTGACCGTCCCGAGGCGACGACTGATCAGTCGAGGACACTGATTGCTGATGGCCGTGCCAAAGGGGGTGCTGGCATTGTAGATGGTACCCAGCAATCCAGTACACAAGCCTGCACAGGCTACGCATCCAAGGGCCTCCGGCACTGGATTTTGTGGTACCGGTACTACGTGGTCTTCATGAATGGGGAAGACAAGTTACTTTTTGGCTGAAGAAACGAACATACCAGGTACCGTGGCGTTTTCATGGTGCTTCTCACAACAGGAAAGGAAATTGTATATAGGATCTTGAATTCACATGCCTACCAGTAACACTTTGAAGGGTTCTGATGGATTACATCATCTAAACAAGTTCTATCAAAGTCAACAATCAATGAACATCACCCGTTCAGTTTTGCCAAAGTAGTCCAATCCAGGAAGACATGTGTTCGCATGCTTCGTGCTTGTATTTCCTGGGCTGCCAGGTTGGCAGCCTGCTTCGCCTGGTTGCTTCTGCTGCTTCTCATCCTTCGCTCTGCAGGGCCAGGCCTTCTTTGCCGGGCTCGGCCATCTCGATGAGCAAGAGCGCGGAGACCAACTTGATGGCGGCCATGGGCAAGGCGGACAAGATCTCTTCGCCCAGGAAGAAGTACTGGTTCCTCACCACCTTACAGAACTGGCGGACCAGAGTGTTGACGGAGTGTTGAGGGAAAAAAGGATAGTCAAGTTTAGGTCCCGCCCGGCTTCAAATTGTGTATAATTATAAATACATAATGTTTGAAAAAATGCAAGAAAGCCTTCCTCATCCAAAGTGGATTCGTGTCGGATTTTGCACGTTTCCAAACTAGAGCACATTTCCGCAAGACAAACCCCGATGCCGCAAGAGCGGGGATACGTTTTAGACCCTTACAATGAGGGGTGGATATTGTGTATATACGTATGCACCTCTACCTAAGAGCCTTCTCCTCGCAACCCCTGTGAGGCGCCGCTGCTCTCCAATAGATGGTAGGCAGTGTAGCAGTGGAGAAGACGCACGTTGGTTCATCGTTGTTGATATCAAAATCATTTAACATCCTTAGGATTTACAGTGCTTTGTAGCTTTTGCACGCCCCCAGCCAACTACGTGACAATCAATGACTTACATAGGAACTCATGGGCATACTTATCATACTGTGGCATTGTCAAGAAGGCTGGCTGCTCCAGCTTTGGTTTCGTGGGATTGTTGGAGTTGGAATACGGACCCTCAAACTGGGTCTGCCATTCCATGCTTACATTAATTACAGTACACTCCGAACCACTCCCGAACTCAAAACCTCAACCAACACTGGACCGCGTCCCTCAACACACCGGTTGTTGCTTCACTGTTTCTTTGGAGCATTGGTCTTCGTGATTCAGGCCCCAAATCTCCATGCTCACTTCTTAAGATTGTTAAGTCAAAGTCAAGGGCGCCCAACCACCAAAACAAAAAAAACACCAACCCAGCTCGGTCTCCTCATGCCGTTCCAAACGTGGGGCTCCGGCGTCCGACCTTCGAACCACTGGTACCGTTTGTTTCCTCCCGCGGCACGTTGAAGACGGTCAGGTACACCGGCACCTTGGCGAAGCGAACGGGTACCATGTCCGGTCCGGTGTCCGGTACAGGGTAAATGGACCAGCAGGCTGAGCCGCGTTGCGAGCAATCGAGGTGGGGGCTGGGGTGTTATTGTTCTTAATGGTTTGATCATCAAACTGCAAGGGGAAGAGTAGATGGACAAGCATATATATGTATTCCATTAAGCTGCCGACTACGCATATATATATATACACATAATAATCGTATGTATATATATATATAAACTGCGCTCCAGGCTGCTGCATCAAGCACCACGCTAGCCACGCAAGCAATGTAAAAAATCTTCCGCCAGCTGGCTTGCAAGAAGTAAACCTGTCAGCCATCGATAGGATGTTTTTCCTCGGCTTCTAAGGTCATTCTTTTCGGGGGCCACCCATACAGTTGATCTTTGTAAGCTTGAAGTCATGCACTCAAAGGCATCAACATGTGTCAACAAGCTCTTGACTTGATCGTGGTTTTATCGTGTTTTATCAGCATGTGTCTTGACTCATGATCCCATTGGCGGTAATAGTGGTGGATGGTGTGACATCAGCAAGAGAAGTCATCAAACCCGGTGATAGCAGTACCTTTTGCAACTCTTGGTGTGACCTGACAAGTGGGCGGCCCCATGCGCGGCTGAATGCATAAATCAGATCCATCAATCTATCAATCAATCAATCAATCAATCAATCATCTATCTATCAAACTAGCTAGCTCTATGTATATATATATACAATATTATATATTATATAGCATTACTATTTAACTGGAAAAAACACCAAACGGTCCCCCACCGGCCCCACACAACGCACCTCCAAAGCTAGGGGGCGGGCGGTCACTTGCTCAGGACTTGACAGCAACATAACATGAGATCAAAAAGAAAGCATGCAGGAAAAAGCAAAACTAACCTCTTGGATGCTTCTCTGTACTCTGCGAAGCCTTGCGTATAACATCACCTCCCGAATCTCCTTGCCACGTGTGGCCTTGATGAACCACACGGACACCAGCAAAGCAAAGGTGCTCAGCATTCCTCGGAGAAGATTTCATTTCGCCATGGAAGGAAGGACATCATGGGGATTCCCAACAGCCTCATCAAGGAGAGAGGACCTTCAAATGTCCTCCAGCAAAATTTGAACAGGTTGAGGGTCATGCGATTCTGAACAAGAGTCAAGTTGGCCGACGCTGAGCCTTGCTTCTGGGTGCTTCATCCACACGGAAACACGTGAACACCTGAAAATCATTGGGAAGCAACCTGCCGGCCGGTGCTGGTCTAGTTTCCGGGTTTTGGAATGTAAACAATGCTCAAGTAGCTATAGTCGTAGCCAAGGCTAACCTGACCTTATGAATTATGAAAGCTTGGCTGACTTGGCCTCGCCTTGTCATCCATCCCCACTGCCTGGTGCAGCAGTTCTATGGCTCAACCATGCTCGAACAACCAGAAAATGCACGAGTCGTGCCAGGAGTCCATCATAGCATGCCATGAATGCCATGAAGTGAGACTCTGAATCCGTACGTGCTCCGTTCGCAAAATCCGCGACCATCCAAAAGCATGAACGAACGTCCCTCTCTATGTCAGGTCGTGCTGGGAGGAATTGTGGACAACTGGACCTATGCAATCCCTTCCGGCCAACTTGTAGACACTCATTGTTGAACATTATTGAACATTATTTTTAGTTCTTAAATTAACAAACTCACAATCATTCACCACTAAACCTTTTAATACAAGTGGAGTGATGTTGATACGGCCCTTCAAATCCCTCATGCACTCTCACTTCTCACTACACTAAAGCCAGCAAATTCAGCGTTTCTTTTTCCAAAGGAAATGGAATGAAATGGAGCCCATCCACCAGTTGACCACCCATCAACACACACAGACCACCCATCCACGTCTCACAGGCAAGTGGCCACACAACCTCGGAGGGCATGAAGCCGCCCAACTCCCAATCTTGAAGGACAACAAAGTGCGGACCAAGGACAAATTGGAACAATTAGCATTCTCCGAACCAACATGCACACACACATGATGTGACCCGCCAGATTGCTGCTGGAAGGGTTTAGGGTTAGGACGAAGGGTCCCTCAACTCGAAGATTCGAAGGTTCGAAGGGTCCTGTCCCATGGGCTGCTCATGGACCTGGCCGAGGCAAAACCTCCATCCGCAACCCTGGACCTGGTTCAAGTCGACCCGATCACAACCAGGGATCTCCACGAGCCAAAGGCTGACATGGACGATGACGATGATGGTCTTGCTGGTGCTGTAGATGTTTGTAGTGATACCATGCAACAAGACCCATCGGCAAAGACCGGGACTTTCTCCCACCAAGCGCAGCGCATATAGACATAGAAATGCTGATAGAAGTGGGACAGCTGGGTGGGGTTAGAATTGAGGAAACCATAGGAAACCAATACTTATATAGACCCAATCGACCCAACACTTGTTCCAAAAAACAAAACTCCAGGTAGTCCTCTGAAGGCGCGCCAACTCCTATCTTATATGCCCCAAGTGGCTGTTGTTGAAGCACCTTAACCTCTGCCCACTGGGAACGCACCAGCGGCCCTGCAGTGGTCGCGACCGTCACCTGAGCATGGCCGCGGCTGGGCGATTCGCAAAGCGTTCCTAAAGACACCGAGGACACAGCCTACAAAGGCTTACACTGTTCTTTAAAGAGCCGCCACACTCGGACAATCTTGAACGACAGGAATCATTTGGACACATTTTGGACAATAACTATAACATGGAATCAGTGGCCTCCCTGACACACAGCTTTGGTGTCTGTCCGGTCAATACTGCGGATATGTACATATTATATATGTATATCATATATGTTATAGATCTATGCCAGAAGTCAAATCTCAATGTTCATGGCCTATAGATTATATATTGTAGCTTGGGTGGACACACCTAGATGGAACATTATTTGGGGAACATGTGGACAAGCAACTCTTTTCACAGTGAAATCTGACAACAGCAGGATTAACGATCAAAGGACATGTCTTGTAAATCTTGTAAAAGCAATCCGCCACCCATTGATGCGCTGATGGTTAGGCCCGATACATCTCGGTACCAAGTAAATGTAGGATCTGAACATGTCAATGTATATATATGCATGATTATATGTGTTTGTTTGCTGAGGTTTTGGTATGTTACTTGCTTCATGTCTGGAATGTCTAAACTGGTGCATGAGTGAGACCGAGCGGCCATCATGTGCGTGCCAAAGGCAAACATGATCACACCTACAAAGGCCTTGCTCTGCACCTCGTGGTTCCAGAGAGGGAGGGTCATGGAATTTGGGACCCACAGAGTGAGTGGTCACTCAGCTCTTCGAAAAAAAAAAAAAAATCAAAAACGATCGAACCAATCTATTACAAGGAACTTACTCTTCGATCTGTAGCGGTTGATAGATTAGGTTTCTATCGGGTATGTCTCAGGGTTTGTTTTTCCGTGTGTCTCCACAGGGCTCAAGGCGACGGGTTGGCCGTGCGTACCGGCGCAAGGCCGGTGTGCCACTGTGCTAGCCCGTTCCGCGGGACTGTCGGCCAATGGTTGTGCGTTCTTATTCTTCCTGGCTAGAACTGCTGAGGCCAATGTCTACGGAGACCTCGTCTTGGAGATGGTTTTCTGGATGCAAATGTGGTGGTTGATCTAAATTCCTTTCATCTGGAAAGTGCCTCTTCGCGAAAAAAAAGATTACTTTCGCGAACCCCATGTTTAACTTTCGCGAACTTTCGCGAAGTATGATCTTACATATTCAGAAGAAGTTCGGGTACATGGGTATATATAGTAGTTAAAGGAAAACTATATACAGTATATTATAGGTCTGAAAAGATCACAGTAAGCAAACAAATAAGGGTCCCTTTACCTACGAATAACATACATGGTTACATGAACTTTCGCGAAAAAACACAAAAAAAGATTACTTTCGCGAACCCTGTGTTTACCTTTCGCGATCTTTCGCCCGGTTGGTACTTAGTAACCGAAATGGCTGTTCCATATGAAGCTCCTTTCATGGACCTTTAGATCGATGCCCATGTGGCTTTGCCTGGAGGTGGGACAGGTGAACATGCCAAGTCCATGAAGCTTTTGGCATCTACACCGGGCTGGTGATGGAAGGCGTGTCCAGGTCGGGATGCAAATGGCCAACTGGATGGTGCCTGTGGGTGGTGTTCTTGGAACTGACCTGGCGGCAGGGAGTTGGTCCTTCGTTGCCCTCGCAGTTCGAGTTTTGGTGCATGCAGTTGCTGTCTCGTTGCTGTCTCGGTGGCGATGGTTCGATGCAGCCTTCAGCCTCGTTCGGGTTCCTTATGGTTCCTTGCAGCATGTGCCTGGTCCTGTTTCCGCCTGCTTGCAGAATGGCAATGCATGCGTGTGTTGAGGCCCAAAGTAACTGAGGCTGAGCAGGTCGGCCACTCAAACCGGCAGCTGCCAGCCTCTGCCTCCCAAAGCCATTTTGGCTGGAGGTAGGATTCCACTTTTGACGCATCTCGCCGCAGCGGCTTTTGAGATGCGGCACATGTTGTGGATGTCTCTCACTAAACCAAGGATCAATCCAAACAACCTGACGAACGTGCCGGTTTCGCCCCGTGTTCAGCTTGGTCGATCGAGTCAGCTTTGGTTAATTGAAGACCATCGGCAGCTGGCTTCGCTTGAAAACCACAGGCGAATACAGGCGACACATCAGGTGTCGACTGTGGATGCAGGTCGATGCTTTCATCCTTGCCCCGGGGATGCTGTGCCAGGACGGATGAAAGCTGATCTCCAACAGCCGAATACACACTTTCGCAAGTTAACCCACCAGGAGCGGAGTGAGATGTCCTTCTCAGGGTGTGACGTGAGACGTCGTGAGAATCAGATGTCTTTAAGCGCAGGTGTCATGGGAAAATCATGTCAGAAAGCCAGCGCCCTGACAGGAAAGCTTTTCGCCAATCTCTCACACATTCTCACACAGCTGGCTCACACCAAACAGCCAGCTTCTTTGTGATCTGCGGGTTGCCCATACAAAATGGCTTACAATGCAATCCACAGCAGCAGTGAGTTTTTGCAAACAATGCCATCGAGAATCGAGAGCTCCAAAAAGCTGTTCTTTAGCAACGACATGTAGACATCAAAAGCCCCTATCCACACCATGGCGATGATTCGGTGTTTTTGTTGCACTTCAAGCATCGATGCCATAGGAGAGCCTGCAACTCAGAAATGTTGATGGTCAGAACTGGTATGGGCGACGGACACAAGCAAAGCTGGCGGGGAGGCTTTCGAAACAGCGCCAGCGGTTTTCTTGAGATCAGCTTGAAGCAATGGACATGAACAAGTAGAAACCTTCTGCAAAACACTCAACAAGGACGGGCACATCCCCAACTCTAGCCATCAAACATCTGCAGTTGTGCGAAACAAACCGATGCGAAACCACAAGAAACCGCAAGAAAGATGGGCGTACAAATCAAAGCTGTGAGGATTGGATCTTCAACACTTCGCTGGCTTCTTTGCTGGCTAAACTCACACCATGAAAACAGTGGTGTGCATTGACCAGCTGGTCTGGCTGAAGTCCAGTAGAAACTGCAACCAAACCGTTTTTCACGGTCCTGAGGTACAGCCATACAGTTCCCACCACGGTCATCAAACGCTGCCCGAAGAGAAAACCACATGTATTTGAAGATTATTTGAGTAGCCGGGATTCGCAGCACAAACATAGACTTGGGTGGGGGGAGGGCCTGCATTCTTTCAAAAACACGATCAAACACTGTGAATGATAAAAGGAATTTCAGCCCTGTAGTGCAGAATGGCTCCTCCTTCAAGTTGGACATCCCACAACTCCAAGCAAACCAAGGCAGCTAATAGATTTTCATAGATCGTGTTTCTTAGATTAACTATTAAAGTGCAGTCAAGTTACAGCCACTATCCCAGCACCACTATCCCAGTCAAGGCACTAAGTCCCAGGAAGACCAGAGGTGCTGTCGGAAGGAGGGTCTTTGCTTCAAGGGAGGCTCCCAAACTAAGAACCTGAGCCGATCGGCGATCAACCGGCAATCAACAGCCCAGCATGAGGACCCCGGACCCCAAACGAAAGGCAAACGCCCCGGGTTTCCCTCTTGCTTGGCCCACGCGAACAAACGATCCTAAGTTGGGCATGCCGGGCACTGGCACATCCCACAGCAAACCGTGGATTATGATTGTTCGGTGGAGCTGGATGGTCACAAAAGCTTTACATAGCTTTGCCGGTACAGTTGTTGGAATGGGGAACGCCTCAGATGATTACTAGTAAGGCACTTGTTACTAGAAGCGATGCACTTGTTACTAGCTAGCTTCTTGTTACTACTAGTAAGGCACCTGTTACTACTAGCGTGGCACTTGTTACTAATAGACCTCACAGGAGCAAAGGCCAACATGGGTCCTTGGGACTTTACTCCTTGTCTAGCCTTGCTCAACCAAATCCAGTCACGTGAGGTTGGCACAATACTATTCGTGGCAACGCTCTTATAAGTTCATTCCAAACACAGCAATTACGTACACGATTGAAAGTCTTTGTCTGTCGGGACGAAAATGTGTTTGTGCCATCCAAACAAAATAGGAAAGGAGGTTCCCCCCCTCTTTTTCGAAGGGACCTTCTTCACTCAGGGAGACCGAGTCTGAGTGCAAGAGATGGGCTATGTTTTATGTTGTACCTAGTCGGTCATTGTCCGGATCCATGTTCGGTCACTTGTGGTCATGCATCAAATTGCATGAACCTCTCCCAGCAAGGTAGGGCCATAGGGGGGTTGTGGCCACAGTGGCTTTCGAGCAGAATTGCTTCTGTATTGGGCCGTGGTGGAGTGGAAGCTTCTGCAGTTTGTAGGAGGTTGTCGTCACAAAAGAATAACTATGCTCCACTGTGGTAGGTATGTCATAGAGATTCCGAACAGCAGCTTTCCGGCGGTTCTCAGCTTCAGCAATCGAACTCGCAGAGCGAGAAAGCCAAGGATCACCAAGGATCTACCAAGGACCAAGGATGAGACAAGGCCCAAAACAACCATTTTAATTGTTAGTTATATGTGTTTAATGGCGGAAGCTTCCCAAGTTTTTCTTTCTTTTCTCATTCCCATTCCCTGCCTGAAAGCAGGCTCCCCAACCCCATATCTGCATTCCCTAGCTAATTACTTCCCGGAGCTTTGTAAGACCAGAGGCCCCTGTGCCATGAGCCTTTCTCTGAGAATAACTTGAACTCATCGATTTAATTAGATCTTATATAATCACACCTTTCTTTGTGCTTCGATTCATTAGTGGTCCCAACCAACCTCTATAGTAAGTAGGTGATCCACCCACTGATTCGATTGGATTGTCATCCCGAATCACTCACAAAGTTGTGGCGTCCAAGCGCGCTTTGGGCGTCGCAAGCCGTTGAACCAAATGCATCTCAGGAGCATGGTGAGGGGAATCTGGATCAACACCTCATGAGAGCACCAAAAATAACAAAATAGAAAAAGCCAACCAAAACAAGCTGCGATGTCAGACGGTCACAACTTGACCACCGACCAACGGAGGAATAAAATCCAACCCATCCACTCCCCCGGAGCGAAAGCACCGTGAACGTCGAGTCGCCCAGTTGGAGCGAGCACACACCGTGCGCGAAAGCACCGTGCGTATATGGGTCCAACAGCCAATTGAATGAAACGAAGCGCCACTCGTCTAGCGCCACTCGTCCTGGCGCCATTGACCTTCTGTGGACCGGGTTTCTTGGGACAAAGGGCATCATCCCAGGCTGTTGTGGGTGCCTTTCCGATTACCAAAAACTCTAGGGAAAACACCAGGAAGAAACGGACTCTGAAGTCCGCCTGGACCCACCACAAGCATCCCAAACAATCCCAAACACCCAGGTCAGACCTTCAACTCCAGGAGATACCACCATGAATTCAAATGAATTCCTACGTCTTCCATGGGAATTCCCACAGAATCACCACTGGTTAACGGAACATTCACCATGTTCACAAATGTTCTATGTAAACTCGACATGCGACATCTTTCAAACCCAGTGCTTCTTGCAGTGCTCCTTTCATGACTCCCAACGACTTGGGTCATGTTCGATTCGAATCAAACACCACATCCAGGAGGCCAAGGCCAGGGCGATGTACATGATCTGGTTGAATTGCAAGCCCCAATCGAAGGTTCCCAGGTAGGCCTCGGTTCCCAGAAAACGGTCGGCTGAGTCGGCTGGTCGACCGTTCTGCAAGAAAGTGGTTGTTAATGGTAGTGAATGATGGAATGATATGGAATGATCCTGTTTGGCTTGGATACAAACAATGTTCCAAGCGTTGAGAAAAGAATTACACTGACGGGAGACATGTGTCAGTTGAGCAAACATCGAGACTGATTCAGGTGCGCAAAGAAATGCAAACACAATATCCAACCAATCAGGATTTCTTGGAATCACAGAAGGCTGATGTTCAATTGCATGCACAAGGACTTGCCCAAGCCTTGCTGTTCATGAAGCAGCCGATGAACAAGGTTGCCAGCAAACCACCTAGGATCCAGTCTGCCCCATGCGATGCTTGCGATAGAAAACTGCCCTGTTCTGCAGCGGCTCCCCCCAAATTAAAGAAGCCAACTGTGACACCAACAGCACGAAAGCCTGATGCAATCCCCAGGGTCAAACGTCAAGGACGGGGACAAACGCTGGGGGGGGCACTGGGGTCACATGGTGTCCCTGGTGTACCGATTTGGTGTCTGCATTTGGGATCCGCCTCAGCATCCGGCCAGGTGGCCAACCCCAGCTACTTCATCATGACTTGTCTCGCGGTCCAGATCCACATTTGGAGCCAATTACAGTTGCCTGAAATGAACACAACAAATATCTCCAAAAAGTATCAAAGAAAGAGTCCGGTGCAAATCTGAGTTTTGTGGAGTTGAAACACCATGTTCGGTGAAGCCATGGGTCACTGACTATTTATTTATTTCCCAACCTGCCCGGTGCATCGATGTGTCGCCCTTGCACCGTGCCCAGTGGCCAGCGGTTCCAACCATCGTCAACTCCTCAGAGAGGAGTCGCCGATGCGATGCCCCACAGCCGTTGGCAGCATTTCCCCCCCTGCCAAACGATTATATTTAAAAAGTGAATCACCTTCAAATAATTGTGGAATTGGTAACTAACAATATTTTTGTTAAACATTGCAAAGCCTTTCTATGCCTTACTATAGTATGTGGGCCCTAACGTTGTCCAGCAGAAAATATACCGTCCATTTCCTTCTCTTGATCCTCTCACTCGTCAGGTGCTTTGAACGAAGGCACTGCTTTGAGTTGTCCTCGGCATTCCCATGCCTCCAACTGCGAATACCTCGGCGTGTTTTCAGATTGGTCCTTCGGATTGGGGTGGTCAAAGCGATGAATCAAAGAAATAGGGCCACTTGTACCCGAATTGTTTCTCGATGTCAGTAAGCTTGGAGGCTGGTCGTTGGAATTAGTTGAGTACATCGATGAGCTTCAAGACCGGGCAACGACAGTCCGCTTAAAATTCCCTCCAATGTCAGGGTTCTTCAGGGAACACCTCAGTGTATAGAATTGTAGGAAAACAGCCAGCCAACGGGCCATGGACTCTGCGATTTTCCTCACGTGGACAAAGCGAGTCCTTCCGGCGCGCTGTGTGAAGGTCCATAGACCTTCCATTGCCGTCCATTGCTGGATCTGTTTGTGTCTGTTTTGGGCTTCATGGAGGCACTGGCCTGTGGGAATCGGGTCTTGACACACCCATAGACACCCAGCTGGGGACTGGGGGCTAGTTGATGTTGGTTAGGCTATATTGTCACTCATAGTGCTGGGGAAAAAGGAGCTGGCACTGGCACGAGGGCAACAGTTTTTGCGTGCTACTCACACTTACCTCAGCAGGAGTCTAATGGATTTTATGGCTGGTTGGCTAGTTGACTCAGCACACGAATCTCACCTAGCCCTTTACAGCCTCCTCAAGCGTAAAATATCGTAAAACTCAGCACCACTACTATGTGGGTTTGTGGTTCATGATTCCATGTGAACAAAAGTCGATCACCCTCCACCAACTGCCCAACTCCCAGCTAACTCGCTTCAAGAACCGGTCTTTCACGTCACGACAACCTATGAGTTGACCTGGTAGGTAGCAAAGGACCAAAGGACTCACTGAGCTTCCGGGTATTTGTAGCCACGTACACATTTGAACCATATATGTGGCTGTGGGCTGTGGGTGTGGGTCCACAGCCAGGGCCCACCTCTTGTGGTCTATGTTGTGTACCCGGTGGTCGATCAGTCGGTCAACTAACTAGGGTGATCCGCAGCCATGTAGTCTGCAGCTGGTGTTGGTTGGGAGTGTTTGCCTCCAACTCTCAGTCTCAGATGCTCGATGATCAGCCCTTCGCCGGCCACTCCCACCTCGGCAGAAATGGCAAAACAAAGTGACGTGGAGTGGGAAAGGTGGCTCCAAAAATGAGTTTTGCTCGGCTTCCCCATCCGTGATTCCAGTCTTGTGAAGCCTTCAAAGGTTCAAAAAGGGCCGTCTCAAATGGTTTCTGGCCTGGCTGGATGTCCCAAGGTTTGGGTCTAACTAGGTCTAAGTGTCTACCGGGTTGGAGGTCGCGTCTATTTTCGCTCTCGGAGTCATTTCCAACAAGGTCGGACCATTGGAACTTCCGATAATGTGTTTTTTCCCCACCTGTCATGGGCAGACTATCATAGAAAATCTAAGAGTTGGCCTTTCTGGAGCTAAACACATCAAGCTCTTCCTTCAAGAAACCGTTTGCGTAAGGCCAGGTTAGCCTGCTACTTAGCAAAGGGCTTAATAATCAGAGCTGTTCCAGGCCAATTGTCTCAGTCTCATCCATTCCCTAGCTGCTTGTCCGCTCTTCGTATAGAAATGTCCTAAGTCCGCCAGCCCTTGTACTTTGGCCTTCCAAGATGAACGAAAGAGAGCAGAACCGGAGAGGATGCCTCTTTATGAGAACTGGTTTAAGCTCACCATCACGGCAAGGGTCTGTCACCAAAAACAAGAACGATACCATATACCACCCAGTTCCTCTTAGATGATATGTTCAGCTGCCCTCATCTGCCAAGTGACTAAACACAAACCTGGCGAAAAAAGGACAGGCGATCCGGCTGCGGGCATCAATCTGGTCAAACATGTCCACGCTAGCACATATATAAAGACTTGGGACGCTGTCATCCAAATGCGCACTGAACCAAAGCCCCAAGGATTTCTGATATGAGACTTACCCATTAAATGGATGCCCACTCAAATCAAAAAAGAACATGGGTCCACAAACCCCGCCCTGCACCCGTCGCTTTGAGGATTCGACCGTTTTCCGTTTGCAGGCCCTCTGTGGTCACCAAATGGCATAACGACATGGGCAGGTGGAGCCCAGTTGACCCTATAATGACACATTCTCGAGCATCAAAAATGGGACCAGCCGCATCTAGCAGCTAGCCAAACCTCTGTTAAAGTAGTTAAAACAGGCGGTTGGGACAGGTGTGAGTGAAGTGGTCCCCCTCCTGAACGGCAACAGACTTGAAACTCTAAACACACTCGGAGGAATTCCATCATCCCAATGCCCTGCCCAGAGTTCGGCAAAGATCGGCAAGGAAGATCCAGCGGCCTGCGAACACACGCAAACAATCGCGCAGTGCTGGCCTAGACTCAGGAAAAAGCCAGGTACCACGTAGAAGTGTTTTTCGTCATGTGCTGCAGGATTGCCTCAGGAATTCTCTGACTTGGAGACACCATTCTGTTGATGTTTAAACTTTGTTGGCAAAGTCAAAGAACATGAACAGAGACACCCAACATTGCCAACATGGGCCGTTAATAGCCATTCTTAGTCCCAAAGCATCTTTGTGTTCCTACAACTTGTGCCCAGAACTATGTGTTCCTGTCACACACGTGTGTTCCTGATTCACATCTTTCACTCTGAGAGCGTTGTGAACAACTGTCAACACCCTGCATGTCCCTTTGTGTTCGTGTGCACGTGTTTTCGGTCATAAGGAGGAAAAAGGACAAAAACAAACACATCCAAGCACATCCAGGATTGCAGGGCGGCAGCGTGTAGTCATAGCCTCATTGCCATGCATGTGCAGCACCACGGCACGTGTGCAAGAAAGTTCCCCCCGTGGGTGACACCGGTGAAGTGTTGAAAGAAGACAAGCACGTTGATCCATTTAATCATCCGACTTTTGTGAACGTGTTGCTTCTACATGTCGTTTGATCATATTTGTTCAAGAAGGTGCAACTTCAGTAGAACAAAGGAAGCAAGTCTTCAGTCAGGATGGCTCTGCCATCAACACAGCCACCCCAACCACTAGTTCTATGATGTTCTATGGAACACAAGTGCCTTCCAACAAAAAGACACCCTCGCGGGGGCCATTCTCATTGGGCCCCACCAATTGTCTGACCGGGCGAGACCGCCGGCGAATCGGCACATTCGCCGCGACCCTCATGTCACCCAACAGGCTTGGAGGCTTTGAGACAATCAAACCCAGCAAGCGTTCTTCGTTTGGGGCGAACGGCAAGCGTTTCCTTTTCAACAAACATAGAGGTTTTCCTGCATGCAGCTGCCATGTTGGGTGTGTGCCCACGCAGCGAGGAATTCAGCTAGAGGAAGGCACGACCAAAGCATGCTCTCGAAAACAAAAAGGTGTCCAGTATCCACTGATTCCGAGTGATCGTGAAACACTGACATGATCTTCCAGGATGCTGCCACATGTTCCACCCTTAGTACATGTCAGTACTGAGGAGCACTTGCACATGCAGTATCATTGCAAATCTCACGATTCCAATGGTGGAACATGGCCTCCATGGCATTCGACCTTGATTCTTGATCAATCTACCACTTCACACTGGCATTCTACCTTGCCCCACTGGACTCTGTGCCGTGCAGGAAGTCGGCACATTGGTCACATGTCGAGGTTCGTAGGGTGTCTGGCTTGGAGTCTACCATCCAACATGATCAACTCTATGGAGGTTTCTTGTCAACGTCCCAAAGGTTTGAACATGCTTCAGAAGTCCAGATGTCTCAGAACTAATACAATAGTATACAATAGTAGTCCAGCATGCTTCTATAGTTATAAACAAAGATCACTTCTTTGCGCATACTTTATAACTTCAGAAGGTCCAAATGTCTCAGGTCCAGCTGAGTGGAGGACAACCAGTCAAACGTTCATCATCCCGTCCCAAGTCCATTCCCGTCAAAGCAAAACGCTCAGCGGCTGCCATCAGGCGCTTGACAATAATAGGGCGCCGGCAGGTCGTGGAAACCTCATGTGAAGCCGTGGTTTGGCTATGCCACAAAAGTGGGGTGGCGTTGAATCACTTTGAAGCGAACCATTCTCCATGACAAATCCTGGTTGATGATGGTTTACTGGGACCGATTATATATAATATTATGTAATATAGGACCATTATGGACCAATCTTGAAAACTATTTGGAGTTGACACATAGCTCATGGCCACACAAATCATCGCGTTTGCTTGAGGCAATCATTGATTTGTTTCCCTCAGCCAACAACCTACAGGCTGTTCATGGCTGTTCGTTTCCAGGCTTAGGTGGCCATCCGACCGGAACATCCAAATTGAACTTGTGCAAAATCCAGACTGAACTCGTACATCGTACATCACATTATTACATGTATGTTTAAAAAAAAAAAACTTTAAAACAAAAAACAATGGGAAAAAACCTTGGATTTGATACAAACCTCTTGTAACACTTGTTCAATCATGTTCAATCGATGCGTTTTGGTTTGGACGTCCTGGACTTGGGCGGGCGAATCTCTTCGGCGCTCACATCGTCCCACGAATGCGTTGTCCGGGCGAATCTCGGGACTTGGTTCAAGTATATACCTGTTTCCCAAAATGCTGTTCCCGAGTGAAAATACTGTTCTGACATCATTTGGGTTGAGCGGTGAACCATGGTGAACCCTACTTATTTGGCAACTCCTCAACTGATGTGGCGTGGCTTTTACTGTGCATCCCGTCTACCTTCCGCGCGCCTTCCTTCCTCCCGCCTCACTCTCACCTCACTCTCTCTCTCTCTCACTCACACTCACTCACTCACTCACGCACGCACGCACGCACTCACTCACTCACTCTCTCTCTCTCTCTTTATTTTTCTTTCTCCCTCTCTCATGGCAGTCAACGTTCAACATCTTGCTTCACATGTCCGCTCATCATCTGCATTCATCCGCTGTCAGTCCTCATCCATCTGCTTTTGACTCCACTTTGTTGATCAACAAGAAGGCTTCACATGTGTTGTCCGATCCTTTTTCCCAGGTTCACAGGCAAGCTGATGCACCCTCAATGTGCCTGGCTTCAATTCAGCCAAGAAAAGTTCCAATAATTTTCCAACAACAAACAACAGATTTCAAAGTGTGGTTCTCCAGAGCTCTAGGAGCTGTTCTGGTCCAACATTGTTTCCGACTTCAAACACTTCAACAGACTTTGTTGTCACGTTCTGCCAAGAATCCCATCACTGCAATGGCAACAGCAGTGATGCTCCAGCCAATCACCAGGTATGACTTCCTACATCGCCACCGAAGTCCAACATCGCCACATCCGACGGCCACAAACCACGATGGGTGCTCTTCGGAGCTGATGGTCGACCCTGGGTATCGTCGGATTCTTGCTGGATAGTTATGACTATCTCCTTGTTACGTTCGTAGCGATGGCCTCCAACCTACTTGCGATGGCCTCCACCTAATAGCGTCCTTGTTGCTGATGTACAAAAAGTACACAAAAAACATGGGATTTGAGCTATGATGAGAAGTCCTCATGGGTGTTTAGGAAGACCTTCCTTCTCCGTAAAGGCTTTGCTCAAAACCAACGGAAGTGTCACGCCTGCTCCTGCGCACCCTCCGCTCCTGCGGCAACCCCAGATCGGCACCGAATCGCTCAAGCACCCGAAGGGCAACAGGAAGATCTCCTCGGGGTTCGGGTGACAGTTCGGGTGACCGAGGGCCCGTGCCTTCCAACGGAAGTCGTGCGGCCCCACAAGCACAGAACTCTGCCCGTGGCTGAGCCCAAACCCAAAGAGTTGGAAAGGTGAAGTCTTGACTATGAACAGGTTGTTTGAGGTCCTGACTATGCTGAGTTCTCACAAGTTCCAGTCCATTTGGAATGAACATGCCTTCATCCCCTTGGACAAGTGTTCATTTTGCTACTATGGGCATCAATCTGGACTGTCAAACGAACCAACCATCAAATAAATTCACAGCATTTTGCTATGATGATCTATGATGAATTGGGCCGCTGAAATTCTAGAACTCCATTAGAACTCCTTAAGCCTTCTTGCCAATAATGACTTGCATAATTGTTTTCCGGAGTGCCTCCGTCACGATGCTGTTTTCCACTTCCGCATGTCCGGAGGTCCACATGTTGTGTCCGCACAACAAGTGCGTGCACCCAGAAAACGTCGCCCCTACAAACAGTTCTCAAAGCACATCAGACTATAGACAACATTTCAGAGTTGCTATTTCATGTTGTTTCTTCTCTCTCCTGAACCCTGACATGGTTTGATGAACCGACTTGTGACTTGTGCCACCTCAAGGCCAGAAACACACAACATGCTGGTAAGAACTCACACCACTATATTGATATTGGTGCGCTCGTTCATCCACAAGTGTGCGAAACAGAAATTCCCACAATTTCCTGCAATTAAGTTCCATTCAATATTTTGAAGGCCAGTGAGCATGCCAGAAGGTATGCTTAAACAACATACCTTCTTCATCCAAGACTCTGGAAGCTTACTAATGCTGCCGATGGCCGCCCTGGGGTCACGTTCGCGGAAAAAAACGATGTCGCAACTTGAGTTTGCGCAACTGCTGCGTTAGGAGAATAATCTCCTCAGGACTAATATGCCTGGACCCCTGTACATGTGCCCTGCTATAATCCGCCAAGCGAATCTCGGCTGGACAAAGTGGTGGGTTCCGCTGATGGGAGCAAACAACCATCTGATTTGACTTTCAACTCCAACCACTCAGCTGCGTCAGGGGGTGCTTCGAGGTGGAACCGTGATGCTCGTCCCAATGATTAGTGGAGATCATGGTTTGCAAGCAGCTTCCTGTTACTAGTAGTAATGGTCTCCATCCTAGTAGCGATGGCCTCCAACCTATATGTTGCTAGTAGTAATGGCCTCCAACCTAGTCGCTTCCTGTTACTAGTAGTAATGGCCTCCACCCTAGTAGCGATGGCCTCCAACCTGGTAGCTTCCTGTTGCTAGTAGTAATGGCCTCCACCCGCGGTTTGTGTGGAGCCTTTTTCGAAAGCGTGCGGCACGGCTGGTCCACTCTTCCGTCGAAATGGCGCCTACATGCACACATCGTTCGTCTGCAAATTGCACATTGTTGGTTAGTCTGTCAAGTGTGGTATATAGTGGAGAGTTGTGTACGTCGCAAAAACCCCTCGTCCACGAGCACCCCGAACAAACTTGAAATCTACCACCGTCTCAACCAGTAGCTTTGGGGTGTGTGCTTTCAGACGTCCTGCGACGTGCGGTGCTGCCTGTGGTGCTGCCCGCGCAGCGTGGAGAAACGCCCTTCACAGCTGGGAGTGTTTTCTTTCCCCAGGCAGCTGGAGCTCAAACTGATTGGCAAATAAAAAACTCATTTCTTGGAGACGAACATGGCAGCCTGCAACCTTGCAGCCGCCTTCTTCAGCCTGTTGGTGGCTTCCTTGGCTGTATCGGAGGACTTTCTGGAGATGTGTCTGCGTTGGCAAGTCAATACCTGGACAAACTTTGGAATCCTTTGGATCCTTTGGAATCACTTGGGAATTCTTTCGTTAGGAATCCTTTCGACCCATTTTTTGGATCACTTGCTTTTCGCCCAACAATTCAGAATCGGTCCGAACGTCAAGTGACCGATGCTCTCGGCATGCCAACGTGGACAAAAAGCACGGAATTCCACTCTCTACACTGAAAGGAGGCCCATGATAGATAAAAACATGTTGGCATCATGTTGGCAAAGTGTTACCATGGGCCCCCCCCCGAAATGCAAGAGTATCAACCCCAACCATCTGTTGACCGGACAACCGAAGATCACAGGGACACACTGTCTCACGCCAAAATTCCACAGTTCAGCAATCCCGACGTGTATCGACAAGTGGTACATACTACCCTTTGAAACTCTAGTCTTCAGCTGTTCAAGCTGTATGGGATGCGATGGGTCCAACATATTCTACAGGGGATGTCCACTAGGAGAACATGTTCCTCTTTGGGCTACAGCAGAGTCTAAATGGAAATTCTACACAGAACCTTCCACGGTTGGGGTCAGCTTCCTAACTAACAATATCCACGGTGCCACGGCACCTCATTCCTAGGGTTTCTCTTTGCGCGTCTCTCTCCTCTGTCACTCGCTCACTGCCTCTCTTTTGAAAAATGCTAAGTGTTGTGCACACGCACCTTTGCACCGTCGGGCCATGTTGGCGCCGCTGTCTCACAGGTCCGGTAACTGTTGGAGACTGTTGTTTGACAAGTGCAAGTGTATGACAGCAACAAAAGTTGCAACAGAGTTGACTTCCGCAGCCTTTTTTGTTTCAACCGTTTGCGTGGCAACGTCTCGAGCAAACGCCGACAAGATGGAAAGTTGTGCTTGGCCAACCGACGGTACTTGCCAAATCGAGACACATTCGCGAGCTTGGACTGAAGACGACAAGGGTCATCCCAAACCAACAGGACTACCAAGCAGTGTGAGCCCTGACGACTACGATGTGGTAACACAGCTCACCAACGTTCGAGTCCATGGCGAAACAAAGCGGCAACAGGAGTGGTTTGCCAGCGTGGGAGAAAACCGGCTGCCCTTGCTTCACCACATGGCAGAGACTCATGTCCTCACAGCTTTGAGGTGGAAAGGCACGCTTTGGCACGAAGAGGTGGAGGTCTCCAGCCGGGCCGTTGGAAGTTGGAAGGGCTGCAGCGCTATGCTGCTATGCGGCTGACGCTGACGCTTTGAGAACAATGGAGAACTGAAATGCATGGGTGAGAACGCTCACTGGACCTATAAATGCGGGAGATCATTTCCGCGGACAGCATGGACTTTGAAGAGAAGTGGCCGACAGACTGACACATCGACGGCTAAGACAGCCAAGCTTTTGCGTTGCCACCGCAAGATAAGCCAAGAATCGGACCGGGCTCTCGCAACCTCTCAAGGTTCGTTGGGGCATCCAACAGCGGTACAGTGTTCAGCAGTTGGGCAGTGTTGCGAAGTTGGCGTCAAAGTGGTCTCAGTTTTGAACAGGTGCCTTCTATAGTCCTGTTGTGCTGATGCTGCTTCTTGCTGCTGTATGTTGAGCTCCCCCAAGGCTCTGGGATAAAGGCTCTGCCTGTTGTGTTTGTTTGTTTGTTTGTCTGTTTGTTGTTGAAGCATGTTGGAGCTCCCCTGGATATTTCCAGGGTCGCAGCTCCATTACCATGAAAAATGCCAAGTGTTGCGCAAGCGCCTTTGTACGTTGGGACTTGAGCCCAAGGGCCCTGTTGGTGCCAGTTGTCTCACAGGTAGTGTTGGAGACTCTTGTTTGACATCTGTCTCTCTCTCTCTCTCTCCCTCCCTCCCTCCCTCCCTCGCTCTCGCTCTCTCGCTCTCTCACGCTCTCGCTCTCTCTCTCTCTCTCTCGGGAATGCTCCTCCTCTCTCTCTCTCTCTCTCGGGAATGCTCCTCTTACCCTTTCACTGCAGAAAGAACAAAAAATGTATTCTTACCCTTTCACTCTTCCTTGCTCTGTTTGTCTTTTTTCTCAGCAGTCCAGTGGGGAACTCTTCGAATCCAGGCTGCAAGTTTGTCCTTCTTGGACTCCGCTTTCTCAAGCATGGAGCTGGCTGCATCCATTTCGCTCTGCGCTTCTGTCGTCTCAATGGACTCGGCCTGAAGACACAGGATCCATCGATCAACGCGGGAAGGGACATACTTCGACTATTATATATTGTATATTAATGATGAATGCATGATTTACTATAAAGGGGTCAAACATGTCGGAATTATCCATGCGAACAAAACAGTGTGCAGTATGCAAGTGTGTTGGGCTAGTTTGTAATTCCTATTGCGACCTATCTTGTTAAGCTGTCGCTCAAATTCCTGTTTTTCCCAAAAACTAGAGGCGAGGCGGACCTGTTCCTTCTGTGTTAGTTTCATCTGTTCATGCGTGTTGCTGCTCTCCCCGGAGGTCGCAGTAGATGAACATTTTCCTGAGAAGTCCCTTTTCCATGCCGGAATATTGTCTAATTGATTCTAATTGTGTAGGTATATGTACAGTAATTGATCAACAAAGGTTACACTCCTCACTTTGAAGCGCGCACTTCACACACGAGGCATTCCAAGGCAAAAAGGTGGTTCAAATTGAGGGGCGCCCCTGCGGCGCCCGGCACGTCATCCCGTCATCCCGCCTTCTCAAAGTCATTCACCAGCACTGAGAGCTGATTGGAGTCCACAGTGGCAAAGCCACCCAGCACCACGACTGGCTTCCATTGGCCATCCTGAAAAGATGCGATGGATATGGATGGATCTTGTTCCTTGATGTTCCTTGCGTAGCTCTCTAGCCTAATCACTATGACCGTGGAAGATGACGATGGGGATATATCAAACACAGTGACAAAGAATTGGGACGTAAGCTCGCTGGTAAAAGGTCAACATGACTAACAACAGGCATTCCCTGTTCGATGGTACGCTAGGACCAGGAATCACAAAAAATGACATGTCTTATCTGGCTGAGTCAGGAAAATAAATGCATGTCACTGAAGATACCTGGTGTTTGCTCTCTCTCTCTCTCTCTCTTTCTTTTTTACGCTCAATTGCAATGCACGATGTGCGACTGGAACTGGTTGAGGGCTTCCGGCACAGCTGCATGGTCCAAACTCATGTGTCCACTACAGCCTCATGGATGGACAGCGTTGTCAGGTTGGGCAAACATGGTTTTGAGATCAGCAGTAGGGCACATAAGCTCAACAACTCTCTTGGTGGCCTGCCTGGAATCCGTTTCAAGCATGCCTTGCTAAGCATGGTGCTCTGTGTCCACTCGCCCTGCCGGCCAATGACCGAGGCACACAAAGCACATCTGCGTTTGCTGCGCCATTTTTAAAGAGCTTGTGATGGGGTGAACAACAGGGACCATAAAATCACCTACCTCTACGCAGGTTTGAACGAACTCAGCAAGAGCGTGCGCAGTGTCAGCATATCTCACCGAATCTTTGCATCAATTCACAGCTTTTGGCCCAAAACACGAGCTGGTGCGAGCCTGCAGAGTATCTGCTGGCGGAGCACAATCATTTGAGTAAACCTGTGAGACAAACGCATGGCATCGGTTTTTGGGCATGGCATCCCAGTTTGGCTCATGGGTCGGCCGAGCTGTCTTTTGGCATGCATGGGCCCTGCTTGAAGTACCGTTTCGGAATGCTCACAGCTGCCCCCTTACTTTCTGCAACAGGCTGTGGGCGGCGGCTACAGCGCCCCTCAGGGAAGGCCACCGGGGGACTTTGGCTGTGCGAATGAAGGGTCCGCACTTGTAGGATGTTCCGGCTGGCTGCAACAAACACTGACTGTTTGCATGGCGTCGAATGGCTGGTCAAGAGCTACGAGGAGTGTGGCGGGCACAGCAGTTTGCACACCGCACTCCACGCTGGTGCTGTCTCTTGAACATCATCCCTAAGTTCTTGCAAAAAGCGCTTGGTAAGCCTCGTAGGCCCCAGGCCTTTCCCAAACAGTCTCGACCTCCCATATATGTATGCGCTAACTTTCAATCACTTTCGGCTGATCAGGCTTCATCAATTGTGCCCCCCTTTCGGTGCTGTTCACATGGTGGCAACTTGTTGTTGCCATACAAGCAACAATTTGGCGCGCCACCTCGTCAACATGTTTTTAAATTTTACATGCAGATGATGCTGGGGGTCGTGCAAACGGATGGCTATACAGTAGTTTTGAGGATTGCCCGGCCGTGGCCGTGGGCTGGAGAGTCCCTAACACCTGAGCTCCACAGGAGTGGATTGACAACATCAGTCGTGGCTTGCGACAACACCGCGAATGCTTGAACATGGCCTCGGTAAAGACTAGCTGCTGCATCCACTCTGCCACAAATTCGGCCATGCCAGCACGTGTCGCTGTCCACCATTTTCAAAAGCTTGGATAAGCTTGGATGACAAAACAACAACAAGCGTGAATCAGGAAACCTTCCTCCATGAACAAAAAGACCAAACAACCAACTAGGGCCAGGTGTCAACGGTACCGAAACAGCCTTCACGCCTAAAGTCCCAAGTGATGTCAAAAGCAGCAGTCCGAGGCTCACCATACAACCAAAAGAATCCAAAAGAGAACAACGGCCCGAAACCAGGCAGGCCTCCAGGCGGGGTCTTCAAGGAACGAGCCTAATGTCTCAGGGATGGCAAGCTGCTTGTCACCAAGCCACCGACACTTTAGGAGAACATGTTCAAGTGTAGCTGGGGCCTTACACCGAATACAAACGGCAGGGCCTCTCTCTCTCTCTCTCTCTTTCTTCTCCAATCCAATTCAAAAACATCCTGCCACATGGGTCTCCTTGAGCTGATTCCTTGTGTGCCGAGCTAAAACTCTCCCAAACTCCGCTCCTCCTTGTAGCGAAGGACACCCGTGTCCAAGGCCGACATCATCGGAGCGTGGTTGGCCAAAATGCCCAACTGCCCAGTGGCACTGGGCAGAATCACCTCATCAGTTCATGCACGGGACGGAACATCTTGTCATGACTGTTTCCCACTGTCACGCGGACTGCAGTGCGTACCTCACTGCAGGCCACGGTGATTCCATCACCCTCGGGCGACAAAAGCTTCAACTTCAGCCGGTCTCCAGCCACCACAGACCTCGGATTGACGCAAAGTTGGAGAGTTCCTCTACAATTGGATGGCTCTGAGGAGGTGGTGCAGGACTTTGGACGTTCATTTGTTTTGCTTGGTGGCGGTCTCAATGTGAAAGAGGGGAGAACGAGGGCAGCACGAAAAGTGTTTCAAAGGCGGTGCAGTGCAGGATTTGCTCCTGCGCCGCTCTATGAATCCATCTATCGAACCTCATCGTGGGCTTTTGGTGCCATCTACTTGGAAAAATGCACCAGACAACTGGTAGACTCTGGTAGACGTGCCACCCGGATGCTGCTGACAATTATAATTGCACAGAAATCGTCGGAGAAAAAAAACAAATAAACAAACAACACGACAAAGCATACCTTTGCCAATACTAAACAATCGACAACCTCAGACCTCAGCTTCCGGGTGTGAATAAGTCTAAATTGATCACGTCTGGCCCCAAATAAATGGAACCCTGTGCAATTCATCGGGATCGTGTCCCATCTATGTGGCGCTCGAATAGATGGAACCCCCGATCAATAAACGCAAAAGGCCGAGCCGCCACTGAGCATTCCATGAGACCCTAGTATTCATAAACGTCGCAAGGCACAACATGAGGCCGTTCACTTTGAAAAAAGACCCGCACTCGATGTCTAACAACCTTGTGCGTACGGAGCGCTGTAGGAGTATAGATAAAGTTTCACTTTCATTCAAAGGTGTACCACTTAACTATATCTGTGACCTCCGAATCAGTAATTCTGCATTTGATGCAGAACCAAACTCTTTTAAACATCCATATATATTTTATAGTTCTAACATGTTCTATTATATAATATGTTTTAATATATTTCTGGGGGCTCTATGCGTCATGAGCCGACGTAGCGAAGAAAAGCCATCATCCCAAGTGACTCCTCCGTCGCGACCTCCACGCTTCTCCGGGCGCCGGACGGAGATCGTGCCGCGCCGGCAGTCCCGACGAAGGTTCGTGCCAAGCGTGGACCCAAAGCGCCGAGCACCAGAGCGCTGAGCAGCACCAGTGAGCGAGCCATGGGGCGTCGGGAAAAGCACCGATCCGAGCTCCTGATCTGTCGAGCCAATGGCAGCCGGAAGAAGTTGGAGCCTGTAGTGAAGACGAGCTATCTGATGATGTGACGATGTGTTCACGTTCCAAATCGACATTAAGTCAGTAGGGGAGGAAAAGTACTCGTCCACCAAAAACATGCCTCTCGCCAACAGTCATGTCTCCTATTTGTGTGCCTGACTTTCAGATCATTCTCACCGCTGAAGGAACACATCCGGTATCGGAGATGCACAACATCCCACGGCTCACGGGAGATGACCTGGATGGCTTTGGAGACTTTCTCCATTGGAACGGTGCAGTGCTACTGAGTAATGGTTTTCAGGGCGGCATCTGTGATAGTGATGGAAGGACATTCTTCACAACGCGTTGCATTTGTCAGGGATCCTGAGGCATTCTCGGGCTTGGTCCAAATCAAAGCATATGTTCATCATAGTTCACCCAACTACCTGAACATGCTTGGGGTGATCATTGCTTCCTTCGAGCTTTAGACCCAATCCCCTGGTGGGCCAGGGCAGGCCCTGGAAGTTTAATGCCCTTCATTTCAATCTTTAGCACCCAGAGTCTGCTGGTGAATTCGTTCGAACATCAGGACTAGGACCATCCAAGCCTGTGCCCGATGGAATCCCATATTATTCGTGTAGGGAAGTCCCCTGGTAGCCCTGAACAGGTGGTGGAACCTTTTGAACATCTCAGAATTCATCCGAAATCAGGGACGCTGTGGACAACTTCCAGGTGAAGCATGGACATCCACTTCAGGATGAAAATCATCAAAGCCCCGTAGGCTTGAGGGTGAAGTCCCTAGCTGCTCAGGGGCAAGGCACAACACGTAGGAATCAAGGCCCAAATAGCCCAGGTAAAAGCCTCAGCAGCGACAAGCAAATGATGCTACGAACAAATGTCGTAGGTGATGCGGCGGTCGATACCTGTAAAGAACCCTTCTGATCAAAGTCCTTTGCATCTCGTCCTGCACCGCAAGTCCACATGTCTGAGTCTGTTGGGGAGCTGCGTCAACACCCCGATCTTGCGGGGGCCACCGAAACGGCACAGTGGCGTGCACCTACTTGTCATGAAGCAAAAAGTGCCAAGGCTATGCACTTGGGATGGCAAGAGCCTGCACTTGAATCAACTTGAGCTTACCCTACCAATTGCCAAACCACTAGCCAATCACATGGACATGTGCATGGTTGTTACTGTATGTACCATGATTCCATGATAATTGAAACATCAACGAAAATCAATATCACAAATCAACCTTTGCACTATTTTGCACTTGCGCAAGCTTCGGAATCACGGAAAACCACCTTCTACGGCGGGATACGCGGAGTGAGACAGCGCCCAGCGGCCATAGCCAGTGCCCATGAGAATTCCCATCATGAAGCCACTTAGAAAGCTCCCCACAGTCAGACCCAGAGTCTTCCGCCTCACAGTTTCGCAAGGTGGAACAAGCGGGGGAGATCGACGGGATGGGGCCGGCACTGGGCATGTGTTTGAAGCGAGCAGGCGGCATGTTTTGGAGCATGGTAGAACCTGGTAGAACATTCAGGACGTCAAAAAACTGGGGGTCGGTGAGACGAGAGATCTTTGGGCCCAACGCAGCATTGCGAACCGGCAGGAGAGGCGTTCATCCTCCAAACTGCGGACAAAATTGTGTCATTTCATCGGAATGGTTCGCACAGCCCAGACTTGAAAGATTGCAATCATCCGCAAGCCCTTGATCCTAGCTAACACAACAAAAATATCATCAAATGACTCATCAAATGCCAGTTCCCCAAACGCCTCTCAGTAAGGAAAGGATTGTCCACACTGCATATCATCGGACAAACCAACAAACACATCGTTCATGTCGCGTGGCGTGAGGATGCTGATCTTCCCATTGATGTCCGGGCCCACCGCCTGGGCCAAGAGAGGCACGTGTTGAGTTTGGGATCCACCTTTGGCACAAAAAACCGCTAGTGGCGTTGCAGGGGTCGTGTCAGGTAGGTTTAATAGCTGCAATAGTGTACTACACACAATCTACAATATGTCTATACACCCCTGATATACCTTCTTATGTCTAGCTAAAAGGATTGCTAAAAGAGCACGGGCCAAGCAGCCAAACCAGGCTGAATCCTGTTCTATGTTCCACCCAGGCCAGCCTTTCGAAGACCTAGTCCAACCTGATTTAATGTTACAGACCCGCGCCACGCACTGCAAAATGGAACCTTTTGCCAAGCGCAACCCCAAAAAGGTCGCTTTTTCTATGAACATCTCCCCTTGGTATTTGGACCGAATCGATGTAGGGGTTCCTTTAGACCACAGAATGCCGCAAGTCTCCGCGGGAAATGTCCGCCTCAAGATCCACTTCGCTCACCGACAAGTTGGGAGCCTTGTTGGCCTCTGCCACCTCCGCGAGGTGACAAATGGCCGATGGAAACAAGGGATGAACACACCCAATGGCCATGCAAAAGGGCCTATAGATTGGCTTTTATGCTTTCCGGTCAAAGCCAAAAGTGGTTCGGTGAGAGGGAATGAACATGAGATTGTTCAACTACTGACAACTTTTCAATGCAATATATGTTCAGTTTGTACACTTGGCGACGACAACACTTGGAACTCAGGATTCCAACGCAACCTTTAAACAAAGTTATATAAATACGTGATACATGTTCCGAATTCTGTAAACTCGGGAAGGCCATACAATTACACAATCGCTGGAAACAGGAGAGAAGCAAAACTGATCTATGTCCTGTCATGTACTTTCTCTCCTTCTCAGTCCTGCTTGCAAGCCCCATTCTTGGTGGCAAAAACGGACCCTACACTGAAACCAAAGAACCAGTGTTTCAAGATCAAGGTTGAGATCCAATATATAGACCACCTGTTGGGCTTTGCGCAACCTATATGCTCCCGTCAGGCATTGCAGCCGTCGAGAGGGGACCGGCCAGAAATGAAGGGATCAATGTGTATCTTTGTGAGCATCCGTGGGCTTCATGGGGCTTCAATAAGATAAAAGGTCCGCAAAGAGAAGCAACATGTGTATAATAGTATACATGTGTTCAATACTTTGATGTGCTTTGCTCTTGCCCGCTTTGGAGGATTTGTATCTTCGTGACGTTCTATCAAGGCCTTGGGACATTTCGAACAGTCAAAGAGCCAACTGCTCCAAGGTTCGCATGGGCATAACATGAAGCAAAGCCTTTGACAAAAAGGTACCAAATATACAAAAGGGTGATGAAACGCAACCCTTTAGGATCCTGTAGTGACCCGTAATCATTGCAACGTTCCCACCGGCGGCACCAAGACGACTGAAGTGCCGCCGGTGGGACAGGATGGAAGCAGCTTAGTGATATAGATCGACGCATGTCGTGGGCCGCTTCATACCGCCCTGGAGCGACCCATATATCCGTACACCCCGCATCCGCAACAGTGTGAGTTCCTCACCTTCAGGATCGCGCTACGAACACCCTGGAAGCCCTTGGAGGCTCTGGAGACTCTGGACAGCTTGGAAGGCTTCCGGCTGTTGGCCTGGCCAGGTTGTGGTCCGGTGTGGAATTGGCCGATTTGGGGGAACTACTTCATTAGTTACATGCTGTGTTTGTGTATTTCAGCCAATCCCGAGCGCATGACATTGGGGTTGTAGGGAGCACGCGGCTAAAGTTGACAGGTGGCGTAGGAACACGCTAAAACAGCTTCACCCCCTGAGTGGTCATCAGGGCTGCCTCCACATCAATGTCGCTCAGGGCTGCTCTGGGAGCATCCCCATTGCCATCGCAAACCTCACTTCGAAGTCTGCGCTGCCAAACTCCAAAGCTTCATCGGATGGCATCTTGCCACCCCACGACCCTCGTTGACGGTGGACGATTGATGTACCCAAATCATCTCGCTTTGGAGCGACCCGTGAAAGGAAAAACACATCGACTGTCATGTGGTAGCTGGGGGCTGACATTCCAAAGAATGGCGTGGTGTTTCTAGCCGTTTCTGCCGTGTTCTAACATGTTGCGTCGTGTTTTGAAGTGTTTGGGTGTCTCCAGCTCATTTCCGTTGAAGGTTGATCATGTTTGATCGGAATCAGAACGTCAGAACACCAACACCATGTGGGCCCAATGTGGCATCCCAAAGCTGATTGACACTCAAAAACGACGGTGACGGTTTGAGCTACACGAACTAGCAACTCTCATGTGGACATGCCTCTGCAATCCACAGCTCTACTGTTGGATCCTGAGTCACAACTCCGCCTATACACAACAAGCATTATTAGCAAGCAGGATGTTCGATTCAAATACCTCCATCTGGTTTATGGTGCCAAAAGGAAGACAGGGGTCCAACTTGAATGCAACCTGCTGGTGCCAAGCTTGCACCAACTCGTACCAAGCAGCACTGTTGAAGCCAAATCTGGAGCTCTTGGACTGCTTGGATCCCTTCCGGCTGGCCTTGCAGGATGGTCCCAAATGTTCACAAGCTCTGCACTCATTTGGCCACTGGGGAAGCTCCACACTTAGCGGCTAAGTTGTCATTGCATTGCACCAAACCTCAAGAGATAGCTTAAGGCTGAAAATTTCCTTATCTACAGTAAGTATCCTAAAACATCTAAGTTCAAGGGTCTGTGCAATCCGCATCCATCTACTGTGGGCAAGGAATGGCCACAACTGCCACAACAATGGTTTCCTAGGAAGGGACTAAGGCATGATGGTCGACGCGTTCTACAAAAAAAGGAACTCTCACAACCTCACTTGGAAGGGAGGCTTTTTGGAATGATGATTGGCGAATAGCAAACGTCCTGTATATAGCGTCTGTATGTTCTATCGACAGCCATTTTCGAGATAGTCAGCGTTCGCACAATGAACAGTAACTGGAAGAGTCTTCTCCCAATCTTTGAGAATTTCAATGAGATCTAAATAATGTAGACAAATATGATTGATAAATCCCCCACATATGAAAAGAATGTTCCAATTCACATGAGGGTTAATCTAGAGTCTCTACATTTTTACCCAGAGCGCCGGGCCTTGTCATTGCACTCAGGTTTTTGAAGCATGACGTTGACGGTGAATCTTGAGCAAACTCCAGAAAAACTGCAGATGATCGGCGCGCGTAAGCCGTGATGTCTGATCCCAGCAGCTCTGATCCCAGTTTCTTTGATGAACCCGAAGGCAACTCCTTTGAAGGTGAGTGGGGTCAGCACCTGCCGACCTGCCTCTCCAATCAAAAAAGATTGCCCAGCCAGGCTAAGAACAGAAGGTTTACCACTAAGAGGACTCACCCGATATCACCACAAGGTGACCATGTTTCTCCCTGACAGGTGGGCATGTGCTTGTCACCCCTATCCCCCACTCGGTGCAAGATGGAACTCTCGCTCCACTGTTTGTTGCTCTCTAGCGCAATGACTCGGAGAACGTCATTCAATGGCAGGGCTTTCTTTCAATGGCAGAAATCCTGCAAGTGCTGGTTGTCATCCATGCATCGTTGACATGTCTTGGAGCACCTGAAGCATCGAAAATACACAAACTTGCTGTCTTAAAGATTGCACCGTCATTACCATGAGATGTCCGCTTCAAACTGATCCCCTCCGCCTGCGTCGAACAGAACCTCATCGTCCTCCTCGGCCTGCGCGCGAGACAAGTGAAAAGGTCTATCCTGCGCCCACCAAAGGCCTCACGATCCGAAGGTTGTTCCTGGATTCCCTGAAAATTCCTGCAACGGGGTCAGGTTTAAGCCGCCTGCTAGTCCCAGAAATGCCTCTCCGCAAATCCAACGGACCCGACACAAACGGACACTGCCTGCGCCATGGCCCTCAGACCGCCTGAGGAATGGAAGAAGCATTATGGCATTCCAACACAAGAAAACAATTAACAAATACAGATACATATCAACAAATTGGTCTGGGGATGTATACTTGTCGTGATAGTCTTGGGTCTTCAGTATCTCTACCCCCACAAATCCTCTGAGTTTATGACTGTGATGCCAACCTGTGGGCGTATGTAGGTCACTACCAGTGGAGCATCTTTGGCTCCAAACACGAAGCGAATTCCTCTAGTGAATCTCCGCTCTGCCAACCAAGAAAGCGCTCTTCCAAAAGCCGCATTGCCATCAAATACAAACGTCATCATGTTACTAAATTTCAAAGACATTTGCCCTTAAGGAGTTGATGGAAACTGCAGCAACAAAATGACCACGAAGAACACACACCAAAATTGAGCCCACTGTTCAACCTTCTCCAAGGTGCCCTCCCTCAGTGCCGGACCATTGAGAAATATCTCTGAGTGGCACCCCTCTGACACTCAGCTGGCAGCGGGAAAGGTTCGCAGAATTGACCAAAGATCTGCTTCGCAATCTCACAAGCAAGCTGCCAAGTTTTTTGGAGTTCACAATATTCTCTCTCTCCAAGGGTAGCTCAGGACTGGCACACTGGCACCATTGCCACCAGGGTAAACATATATGTAAACATGTGGTCCACAAGCCTTTGGGGTGCATTTCCCGCATGGTTGCTAGCTCCTGTTCGAGTCTGTGCGCATGGTATGCTGGAACTCAACAAGCCGTTTTTCATAGTCGAACACATCGACGCTTACACCGCAGCGGATGTTCCCTCTCCCCCTCTCCCCCTCTCCACAAACTCACAGTTCTATATATCTCAACCTTTGCTGTTGCCGTTGCCGCAAGTTGTTTTCAGCACCGGGCTGCTCCAGACGTGCGCAACTGTGCCTGGCCGGGCAAGGTCTGGGATGGGCCACTCTTGAGAGTAGATCTTTCCAAGTACCTCAGTCCATGCCATCCCATGATTTTGGGGCAGTGCTCCACAGAATCCACCAAACCTTTGGGATTTAAGCTGGGAGTTCTCAGTTGGGTATGCCGCAGTATGCCCATTAGATGTAAAAAATAGATGGTCAAGGAACGTGTGTTTTTAATATGTATCTACCTACCTGAGAAGTGAGGGGACGAAAGCCAGCCCTCGTAGACACTGAGACCAACAACAGCAAGAGGAACCTCGAATTGGCGTTCGTCAGCATCACATGTCCTGACAGCAAAGCAAACATTAAGGTCTAATGCATTTTTTCCTACAGCTGCTTGGGGGGACCCCAGCTGAAGCGTTCCTTAGCTGGTGCCCGTCTTTCTTCACCTAAAACTTTAACAAAACGCATGGAAAAGGGCGCCATCACACATGGCCTTTTCTTACTGCGTCCGTTGGTAGCGGTCCGGTGCATCCCACCCTTGTTTTCTGTACAGAACCCGATCCTTTGCACCACACATTGTCTTCTTCATTGAGGTCTTTATAGCGGCGACACGCCTGCTGGCTTGCCGCCGTACCGTCTCAGTGAAAGACTTCGAGGTACATCATGCAGAATACCATCTATGCGATCTTCCATGTACTTGGTTTGCACCGGACATGCGCCGGCCTGCAGAGTGCAGTCTACGTGGCGCTTTTATGCACTAAACTTGCCACGATAGAAGGTCTTTACAGCAAAGCAAACACAGTTTTTCAACCGTTTTTTCTTTCCAGCTGCTTGAATAAAACAGCACTCCTTTGCTACATTTTCCCTTCACCAAAAGGTGTAGCAAAACGATCAAGAAACGCACCACTACACATGCCCTTCAATTCAATCAGGCGCAAACACAGTCTTTCAACGTATGTTCTCTAGAGCTGTAGTTAGATCCCACAAGATAGCGCTCCTTTTCTGGTGCCCTGTGACAGAACGATCAGAAAGGGCGCCGTAACATAGTCTTTCAACATATGTTCTTTACAGCTGCTTGGGTGACCTAGCTCGATGCCCTTGTTTCTTTTGCAACACCGTGACAAAACGACAAAACAGTCAAAAAGGGCACCGCCACACCCTCTCTTGGATCAAGTCGACTCTACAGCAGAGCAGTGCAGAAAACGATCCTTTGCTGATACCACACATTGCCCTCTTCTTCATTGCAGTCTTTAAAGCGGTAGCACGCCTGCTTGCAGGTTGCCGTCTTTACAGCTGACCGCGTCCATCTTTGCCGGGGAACAACGTGCTGTCCACTTGAATGGTATCCTGGCCACTTTGTGATACTGATGCACTAGTATATTTTTAGGCATCACTCGCATCACGGACCAAGGCCGGCATAAATATACATTTTGGCTACATTTTGGCAACTCCCTTTTCTCGCTCTTCGTAACCAGGTTCTGGGTTCTCCCTGCCCGAAAGGAACCACCTCGCAACCACCCTTACACCCCCTACTGCTCACTTCGTTCTGCTCACCAGCCAGCCGATATAGTTATATATGACGTTTTTGCTAGGCTGCATCATACGTATTATTACTAATTACTATAATTTTGCAGGCAATAGCGAGGCTTAAGCTTTGACCATCATGGACGCACAAACGCGATTGTTGAGAATGTGAACTTCGGAACGCTTCGGAACACTATACGCATTGTAACACCATCTATATAGTGGAACCGGTTGAGCGTTGTTCCTTTCATTCATCTTCACTCCCTTCTAGGCTAGGCATCAGAACGCACGAGAACCCCAGAATCAACATGACACAGGGGTCTCCCATCAATTGGAACCCAAATCTTCAACCAGAAGCTTCGCATGGGCTTCCAAACAGCTTTCCATCTCCAAGGATCGACCAACACGCGGCATGTTTCGCACTTTTTCGTCAGATCGTCCGATGACTGGTCGGTTTCTCCTTCGAGGGCGAGTCGGTGGGGAACGATGGAGAGCATGGAAAAGCAAACGGGGTGGAGGTGAAAACTGTGGAGGTCAGCGAGCATGAAAACGTGGACGGGTTTAGTAACAAATGTGCGCTTGACCAAACTACTTTGCACGAGGATCTGCCAGGGTCTTTTTTGTCGAGTGAGTTTGCAGTTGTAAAAATTTAACATTCCACAACCATGGGGTTCCTTCAAGGGGTGGACTGTCGACAAGTAGTCTTTCAATGGGGATGATGGCATGTCCTACGCGATGGTTTTTACCTGCATGTGTTTACAACCTTTCCTCCAAATTTCTAGAGGAACATCGGCTAATCCGAAGGTCTTTCAATCGTCTGACATCAGTTGGGAAAAGAAGGCTCCCGTAAGGCCCACACCTTTAGGGACATCAATTTCTTTCATCAATGGGCAACCACTGTTCCCAAGTGGGGTGTTGAAAAAACCCCGTGTCTTTTGCAATACCTCGAAACCATGTTATCGTGTTTTTTTACTCCTATCCTTTTCTCAGGTGAAAGCATCTTTGGTGGAAGATCACAAATCAAAAGATGTCCTTTGGTGGTAGTTTTGGTGGTCTACATGGTCCTACTTCAGGATCCCGTAGCACTGCCTGCACCAAGGCGTACACCGTCTTTGGTGGTAAAGACATGGCAGCAGCAAAAATCAGATATAGACAGCTAAACAAGACTACCACATCGCACACTTCTGCCCTTCAAAAGGTCTGGTGAAAACAGTCAAATGGGTACTTGCCCACTAGGGCTGCTTTTTGCTACATTTCCTTATCGTTTTCGTTATCGTTTTGTTATCGTTCCGGACACCTCTGCAGGTTGCCATTTTCGTGGTTCATGTAAACAGCTGCAGCATATGGACCAAACAGCCCATTCAGTTCCTAGTAGTATTGCTTTGTAGTAAGGAAAGGAGTCCCTAGTAGCTTTTTGTTATTGTTCTTAGTAGCAAGGCAAGGAGTCCCTAGTAGCTTCTTGTTCTTGTTCTTAGTAATAAGGCCAGGAGTCCCTTGTAGCTTCTTGTTCCTAGTAGTAAGGCCAGGGGACCCTAGTAGCTTTTTGTTCTGAATGTGCATGTATAAACATTGTTATCGTTTTTCCCGAAAGCATTGCGAAGGGTTCTTCCGGAAAATCCCTTGAACACTGACACTTCGACATTTACACTTACACACAGACACTTCCACACTTGCACTTGAACACTGACATTTCGACACGTACACTTGAACACTTACGCTTTCACACTTGCACTTGAACATGAACATGAACACTTACACTTCTATACGTAGCCCAGTGTAAGTGGAAGAGTGAAAGCATCCAACGGCAAGTATCCAAGTGCATGAAAGCATCCAACGGCAAGTA